GGGCGTGACGAGCGACACCGCGCACGCAAAAGACGAGTTGCCCTGCCCGGCCGTTTGAAAATCGAGCGCCAAAGAGACGGAAATGATCCACATCACTCGGGATGAACTCTTACCTCCGCTCGTATTTCCACGACTTTCGCTGCTCCAGTCGGCAAACTGATAAATTTCCGCAAGAAGCAACTCACGCGGGAAACTGCGACTATCTTGTCCATGTTACCAGAATACTATGTGGTAGCAAAATATGGAACCGCAAATTCTCGAATCCTTCTATAGAATATTCAGCTCAACAGACAAGGGGCTACTACTATACGTCATGTCTACCCTAAACTAGCATGCAGCTGTTTAGAGAAAAAAAAAATGACAAAAGAGCATTTTTGCCTTCTGTTGTCGAGCAAAGGAAGGCAACCACGCTACCAAATAAATTTGGGCATTTCTCAGAATGACTACAGATGGTGTTATACGCCAGGCGGCTCTATGGAAAAACTCACCGGCGAGCGCATGCGTCGCGTACCTGTTATCATCGCAGCGATAACGCGGCGAAAAGGAAAGAAAAGACAGCGCGGTAACTCTGCAGTCTTAAGACAATGAACATATTGCCGATGATGGGTAACGAAAGATGGCTCATTAACAACACTGGGATATTTAAAGCACTGAAAAGGATAATCCAAGAATGGGCGAAAGAATTCTAGGATTTGCTGATTACACTGTGGTTATCGATTGTATTGAACACCGCGCGCTGCGAAATTAACGACTACGGGCGCTGCAATGTGCAGTGTTAGGGCTGATAAATAGCTAATCCACCAAACCTCAGTGAGCGCCTGTCAGTGTGTAGTCCTTATCCGTAACACGCGGCACGCGCCGCGTTCGCGCCGCCGGTGAATTTCTTTTTAGTCGTGCGCGGTACCAGAGCCTAATTGATTTGGATGAAGGTTCTGCAGTATGTCGAGTGTAACAGCTGAGAAATACTATGTCTGTGTGTCGTCGTGATATCGATTTCCTTAGCGACTCCCCTATCCTCAAAATAAAGAAACCCATAGGAAAATCTGCTAATCTCCAAAATGTTATATGTAAATTTAGTAAGGCCTAATAGGTGCTACAAGTAGGTGAATGAAATAGGCACATAAAAACTAAAAAAAAATGATAAAGGTGAGTAAGCAGCATGAAATTGTTAACAGTTACCTATAAGCGATCTAAATGTTATAGTTTAATATTAAGCAGCGAATGTAAATGGATGAATGGATGAAAAGAAGAAATAAAAAATTAATTAATAAATATTAGTGCAATTAATGTTCAATAAAAGCTGACACAGCGATGGTGAATGCAAGTCCACTGACGATACCTAAAAATGTATGCATTGATAGTATCATGAATATTCGATAAAGTGCTGAGAAAGTTAAAATTACTAAGTTGCTAAACAGCTACACGTTGCCACACACGTCTCTACGTGCTTACCCGAGCGTCGAGTGGAGGCGTGCCTGCGTACGTACGATTTGGCGGCGCGCCAACCTATTTAATTTAGTGGCTGCCAGCCATAGGGGCAACGACCCATGGAAACAGGGTGGCGCCACGCCAGAACGTATGTACCCAGGAACGCATTTAAGACGCTCCGTTAAGCATTATTGCAATATTAGCAATATTATTACAGCTTTTGATTTATACACAGAGATATACGAATGAACAAGCTCACCGAATATTAAGAAGAATCCTGCCATCATACTAGCGATACGGCTCTTTGAAGGTTCCACAACCCTGCAGAAAGTGATCAGTGATTAACCGATGAGATTCAATGAATCATGTTTTACGTCGAAATGCGAAGTAAGCAAATTTTTAATATTCTGATGGAGAACTAAAACTAGCAGCAATTCGGGATTTGAAGTACATGGAGCGATCATGGTCCAAAGTTTCACCGACAAGATATATATCAGAGAGTATTTAGGTTATGGAATGTCGACTTTAATACACGTGCTGTTCGAAGACACAATGCGAAAATCGGATATGCGGAGACTCATGACTAGTTTATTAGCCTGCCTGCCTCACTTGAAGCGCCACTTCCATTTGTCGTGCAGGAAGGAGGGGCGGGGCAACAGTGAGGAAGTCACAATGGTCATGAGTCTCCGCCAATCCGGTACTTAGTGTAGTGTGTCTTTAAGGCACATACATGGGCGAGGATTCAACGCATACGGAAAATTTACCCATATCAGTTTATCTAAAGTTTGAGGCAATCTGATCCTAGAAAGCTTGGGTTCAAAGAAGCTGAAGTTTCTATCAAAAGGATCGAACAGGACAGAAAAAAATTAACAAAAAAGGGTAAAGGGCCTCTGTCAAGTGGCCATTCCCTTGCTGTGAGGGTCCTGAGGTGTTTTATTATCGTATCTTGTGGCTGAGTATCCGAAGGGAGGAAAGCAAGGGGGAGGGAAGAGAGAAGGAAGGAAGAAGAAGGAAGAAGGTAGAAAAAGGGAAGGGGTTGAAGACTCGTGTTGAAAGGTACCTTGAGACATGAACGTGATGTTTCGGGAAGTTCGAACTTTACAATGCAGTAAAGAAAAAGAGTAATGTAAAGCAAAGCCATAGCATAACAGAATGGAGTGAAACTTACTTTGGTGCGTACATCATCGCCAATCCGCTAAGATAACCACTAGATATACTCATGATCATTCCCATGAACACATACAACCACGTGCTTGGGAAGAGAACAGCCCAGGTCCTGAATAGTCAAGAAGATCGGATTTGAAAATCCACTATGCATTTTGAAATTGGAGCAGTATCAATAATCTTAAGATGAGGTGCCAGTCAGCCCAAACCCTCAAAAATTCGGATAACAAGAAACCTTCTCCAGTTACAGGGAAAGCTGACTTCGGTTCCCCCAGAGTTGTCGTCAATAAAACCAGTACATCAGCAGAAATGAAAACAACTTTCTGCTCACCTGGTAAGTGGTCGGAAGTTACAGAAAGCAAAGAACGGAATGAAGAGAAGACGTGGATAGACGACCATCCAAAGACGTTCGGGAGCAGGCTAAAGAATTTAGCAGCTCAGAATTACACCTTATAGGGATAAAAAATGAACAAAAAACCAACATATTGGTATCGTCCGGCCAACATAGAGCCAATGAAGGCAAACACGTTGAAGAGCAGGAAACATGTAATCGGAACGAAATATCTCTCTGAAAAAGAAACTCCCATGAAGCGGGCCAGAAGGTCAACACAAGCAAAAAGTACAGTGTTGTTCACTGTGGATGCTGGGGCGTGTCAGAGGGTAGGTAGGGTTTGGCGCCGAGCCAACTCGTTCCCCACCAATTGATGTCGCATACGCCGCTTCAACAATTGGCGGAGAACTGGCAGGCTTCACGTCAAACCCGATCTGCTCGACCCTGGTAAAGCAAACAGGAGCCTTGCGCAAGGCATGGCGCTCGCTGCTCTTGGCGGTGCTACCCACTCAAGTCAAGAAGCAGTTGCTCCTGTCTGTACATTTTAGAAATAGCGGAAAAGCTTGCTTCGTAACTCCACTTCATGGCCTATCTTGGCGGATATGTGACAAGAGAATCGTAATTCACCGCGCTGGTGGCGTGCGACGTCGCGCCCGCAAATGACGATGGTTCCAGGTAGTAGATGGCGACAACAGGCAATTCAGAACCGAAAATAGTCATGAATGTCTACGATGACGGGGTCTACATGAAGTCCGGTGCTCATCGACAGGTTAACACGAGTTAAGAAAACGCCGCGCTCATCGCCGCGCGCGGCGGAGCGGCAAATTACGATTCTCTTGCCCGTCTCCCTATCTTGGCAAGCCTCT